GCAAAATCTGAAAGTAACATAAACGGCTTGGTGTCAAAATGTCTTAGCAATATTAAGATACAGTCGCCGGTGAAGGGAGCAAATTCGACGAGGATGAAGAGATTCGCGAATTGAGTACATTGCTGTACATCAACCAGTTCGCTTTGCTTTGCCTTTGCTGGCTCTACATACATCAAAACCCAAATTTGCTTGGAAGGTGCTCCTTCTTTCATTCGTATGTTTAATTGCATTGCGTATAGCTTGATGCGTACATGCATACATATCGGTATTTGGAGCTATATTGTCGAAATTCATTATACTAACTTGTTTTATCCCAAGGCGAAATTCTATTAAATTATATGAGATCACTTCTCAGCCACTCCATATATAACGCTTTATTTTGTGAAAAGACTGCAATTTTAAACATTTCTTCACGTACTTATGTACACATATATACAGATAATAACATTTTGGCATTCTAGATTGATGTGAAAAGGTTGGACAGGGTGGGTTGAAGATTGGCCCATCCTCCACGAAAAATAGGCATCTCTACAGTACTTTAAGTTTAAGTTTTAATACTAGGCGGTGAAAACTCGTCTATAAGAGTAATTGGACATATAAATTAGCTGTAGCAAGTTTGAATCTCCTACGTCTATTTTTTGGAAAGTATGGTTTTACATAGAAGCAAGGCGTAACTTTTGCGGCACTCAGAAGATAGCGCCATCGAATTTATGCAAAATATAAAAGGGCTACTAATCAAAAGTAAAAAATAGTTCTACATTGTGATTCTTTCCACAAATTAGGTTCTACGTTGTGATTCTTTGCACAAATTAAGTTCTATGTTGTGATTCTTTCCACAAATTAAATTCTACATTGTTATTCTTTCCGCAACTTAAGTTCTACATTGCGGTTCCTTCCACAAATTAAGTTCTACATTGCCACTCTTTCAATAAATTAAGTTCTACATCGCGATTGTTTAAAGTGTTAGTGTGAAGTTATTCCCAAACTGTCGAGTACAATCAGCAGAAACGTCTCGGATTGGTTAACACATATTACCAATGACTAAAAAATGTTTCAAATAAAATATCTCTTAGTATATTACTACTGAAAAAGAGCGAACTCAATACATTCCTAAAGCTGAATTTAAAATGAGGACATATCGACAATTAAAAACGAACTATATGAAAAAAGATGAGTCCAAAATAATAGTCGACATTTGACTACTACCATTTACTTAAAATAAAACAAAGCCCGACGATTAATATAAACACAAAACAACAAGACGAAGAAAAAGAAAATCCAGAATTTTAATGAAAAAGCCAAATTTTCCCCAGGAGTTAAAAATCTAGTTTGTTACTCCTATAAAATTTCAGGTATTAAGTACAAATTTTACTATATGTTATTCTTGATAAGAATATAACACACGCGGCACGCATTTACATTTTGTCTTTTATTGTTGTGCCATGCACTAAATTAATCTCATTAAACCGCGGTAAGGCTAATAGCTGGAATCAGATTGTTACGTGCATAGTTTACCTGCAAATTGCAAACCATAACCTTCGAAGGAACTTTTTTCTTTGTCATTTCATTAGATATTCCCCTTATCTTAAATCGTTACATTCATAAAGGGGCGACTTACAATCCAGTCTATTGTATTTAAAGAATAGAGTTTTATTGGCACGCCTATTTTAAACGTCATAATCTCTTAACATCCTTGAACACATTATTATTATTAATTTAGCCAGAGGAATAAATTCTGCGAATGAAGCCTTAACGCATTATCTAAGTGCTGTCAGCTTTATTGAAAACTGTCCCGCATTTGAGATTTGAAGCCACGATCGCGACACGCGAGTTGTTAACCGAGATGCTTTGCCAACTCGGCCATTTAGGCGGAAAACACTCTTTATTTATAACTGCTATCTTTAATTTAAAAAAACAAGAGAAATTTGATAATCAATTCTTTAGTACAAAATCTTTCAACAAAAAAAAAATAAATAGTAGAGTTAAGCATTGGTAACGCTATTTACGGTCTGCTGTTAGGGATCCGAATAAAGCATAGAAAGAATTCGTTTCCAAAGACGTTAAGCTTTTAGCACGATGAAATTCACCTGTCCGTAAATCCAAATTTAATTGATTGTGTTTATTATTTACTGTTTAATAATAAATTACCCTTAACGCTTCTTACCCAACTACGCTTCTTTTTGTACGACACTAAAAGTGCTTTCTCTGATTTTTACTATGTGTGAGGAGACAGCTTCTGACTTTCACACAGTCATAAAACGCATTATTGCGGAAGATGGCAATTGAATTTACTCACACGACAATGAAAGGACAGATGAAGGTGAACTAGGACCGAAGAAACTGGTCCAAAGTGGCTCAAAAATCAAAGTGATTTTAACAGTTTTGTTCGATTTTTGAACTTCTTCCGCTGGGCCAAACTGTTAACAGGGAATATTGTTTCAGTTTGAGAATTACTTTGAAGGCAACGAAATATATTTGGAGTAATAAATAGATTTTAAAAAAAAAGAAGGGGGTTTCTCTTTGTATGCAGTAGTATATAAGTAGGTGCATTTGCAAAATTCGCATGTGATGTTTCGAGAAAAAGAGGACTTTCTGTAATAAACATCTCAGTTTCACTATTAATATTGCAACGGATTAACTTGTCGTTTAACATTCCAATTCGGAATTGTCTGCGTATCTGATTGGATATAAGTCCATCACCTCGTGTACATTTTCATTTTATATATTTATAGCTTGAATTTCCTTTCACGTTATTTCCATTTAAATTGACATTTATTAGCTTTTGGTCTTATTAGCTGCCAGCTGTTGGATTTACTAGCGAAACGTGCTGCAAAAAATGTGCTGAAAACACTGTTGAATCAATTGAAGGCAAAGAGGAATTTGTTGATTATTTTACGACGGTAGGAATGGTTGGTATTTATTTGAATATTTCTAGTTGTAATTATACCTCTGTACGTAGAGTTAAACATTTAACTGAAACAATTTAGATAGACTCGAAAAATGTTTTTTTAGGTACACTCGAAAACATTTTTATAACTTTGTCCGGCATTGTTTCGATTGTTTTGTCATCTTAGTTCTGTATTTGCTTCTATGCACACTTGACTTCTGCTGGCTTTTGGCCAAAAGGCAAAAAAAATGCAAGAAATGTTTATTCGCTTGAATAACTAACACGGCTTCATTGTCTGGCTTCACTCAGTAAGCAAGTAGCAATCATCCAATGGTCATTCAGTCTTACACGTTGCTGTTTCCCCCTTAGGAGATAGTCCTATCGTCCAATGTTTGCCATTTTATGCTTTTCTAGCATATTGTTATAGAATTTTGCCGTACTGCAGTTGCATAATATTTGCATACGAAATTGTGGTTTACTTGACCCTATTGTTTGTCTCCTGGCGGTGACACTAATGTTCGAAATGGAAATATGCGTGTGTGCATGTCAGTACAATTACTTGAAATGTAATAGTCGAGATTCGAAAAACTATACAATGACTTTAAAAAAAACTTTCCAAAGCTATTTATTATGAATCCTGAATTCGTCTGCCTGATCATATTCACAAATTCGCATATTAACGTACATCTTTTTATACAAATAACGTTATCAAAAATCAATCAAGTTGAGATTTACAGCATCCCAGGAAATTGATATTCTCAACAGCTTTTTTTGTTTAATTCTCAACACTTACGTTCAAAGTTCCTTGTTTTTTCCTTGTTAGCTTTTTCACCCATTTCAGACTTTCTGTACACAAAGCTTTATTCAATTTAAAAAAAATTTCATCGACCTGTTCAACTTCTAATGGATTTGAAAATTTTTTTTCATAATTTTTTCACTTGAACATTTAAGAACTTGCGTAGCATAACTGTGACAATTTATTAAGAGTTGTAATCCAATTCGGTATGAGAAAATTCACAAAACACAAAACCAAAATTAACACCACTGGAGCGAAATGGTTGAAATTGAAATGAAAACGCTAAAATGGCGTACATTATGAATCAAATTACATTCGATTAATTCAATAAATTATATTCGATTTATATCTTTGAAAATATAAATTTAGTAGTTCAAATTTCAAGTACGACAGTTTTCAATAAAGCCGGTTACTAAACACAAGCGGCATGTGACTTCCACAAAGCGGCACACGACTTCCACAAAAACACGTACGTGTTTCAATTCACGCTGTGCTTTAAGACTCTGGCCTTAGAATTTGTTTCTCTGGCTAAATTAATAATAATAATAATGTATATAGTTTATGCCGAAAATTGCTGTTAACATTTTGTGAAGATTTGTAATTGTCCGAATGACTAAGATCGCAAAATGCAACATAACATCACGGTCACTTTCCACTTTCGAAAAATAACGCAATTAGAATGTAACAATACTGTGGATCTTTGTGGCAATTTCTCGACAGTTTTTCTGAGAAGTGGTGTGAAAACTAATAATTAACATTTTTATAACAAATTTTACTAAATGGATATGAGAAATTTCACGGAAGTTGGAATTGTAGAAAAAATTGTATAGAGAAATCTTTCACTTTTGCATGTAACTAAGACGTCAATATTATGTCGCGTCAGAAATTTTCTTATGCTCTCCATGTAAAAACGCAGAACTGCCTTTTATATGCGATTGAACTCGCGCTTTTCAAACGAAGTTAATGGTTTATCTTACCAATATCACAGTTTTTCCCAGAAGCTGTCCTTACACTACTAAAATAAACTACTACTAATAAAGAACGTTAAAAAGCCCACACATATACTTACATTTACATGTATCTACTTCTGTAGAAACTCGTACACATGGAGAAAGGAAATCTATACAGTGTCAGTTAAAGGAATAGATAGGCTTTCCTTTCCGATGACAAACCAGGTATTGTAACTTTACCGTTACACATCCTGTTGTAGAACTACAAAATACGCACAAACAAACATGCCACAAACATGCAAATGGCGGCATAACAAAGACCGATAAAGACCGATTTGTTTCCGTATAAAATGTCATTGTTTCAAACTGTCATGTAAACGCGATATAGGATATATATTTACATATATGCTTATTTGTGTGTGAAGCTATGAAAGGACGTTACGCGACTATATTACTAATTATGGAACAAATTTTGAACGATTAGATTTAAAAATAACAGAAAAAATAAAGACGAAGTTTTTCTTAATCACTATCATCATCTGAACCATCTTCACCCGAACAACGATTATCCGGTGGGGCACTTTTCAGTCTGGCAATCAGTTCTTTGGCAGGATTGAAAATACCATTTGTTTGTTGAGAGCAAATGAAGCAACGCTGCGATTTCTTGTACTGTTCTAAAGCACATTTTTCGCAAAAATAATGCTTACACCTAAATTGTATAATCAGTTGAGTTATCTCTTTCTTTTGATCGCATTACTTACTTTGTAATAACTGGATTAACGAAGCTTCGTCTGCATATGAAACACTTGAAAGGTAGTGATTCTTCATCAGAATGTATTTCGTATTTGCTATCATCGCCATCTGATTCACACTCGCCTTTCTGTTGAGCCGAGTAATCTAATTCCAGCTGCCAGCCTGCTTTGTAATCGCTTCGATCATGCAGAAACTTACAGCTGTCCCCGAAACCGCAATAACCAGTTTCCTTATAGTCCTTACAAATATCTGGTTGGTAATCCCACCGGACAGTGGCTCTTAAATGCGCTGGTGCTCGTATGGGCCCTTTACGTACCATTCCTGAACTAGCATTACCAGCGGCTTTATCTTGCTTTTTGTAGTATTGCGCGTAATTGTTTAGACCACGGTATATTTTATCATCAGGCTTGCCTTCAAGCTCTTCGTTGATCTTCAGAGCTTTTTCATGAATTGTCTGAGCATCTCGATCTAATTCGGTTTCAATCTCATTAACCGAAGTAGCGCCTTGATCTTGAGGGCCATTTGGAACAGTTGTACGACCCGATCTATAGCTGACACCAACTTTTTGTTCACTTTCACTATCATCACTTGAGGAAACTTTTTTTTCACTATGAACTTCTCTGCCACTAACGCGCTTTGTACTTTGAAAATTTGGATTGACATGCTTACGTTTATTTCGTACACGAACTACTGTCGATAATTGTTCTTTCTCACTGTCGCCTACAAAACGATAACAATAAACAAACAACATTCGATTAAGTCAACAACTTTTACACCAACCTGATTCCTCGCTCGATTCTCGCTTCCTTATAATGGTCGGCCTTTTAAAGCTGCGCTTTTTAAAACCAATTTGTTGTTTCGAGCTTCCTGGACCTTCCGACATATCTTCAAATTTACTTTTGTTCCAAATGTGTTCGGGCTCTCTTAGAGAAAGAAAAAAGGCGAAAAATTAACAATGTTGTCGATTAACGCAACCTAAAGCAGTAACAGCTTTTTATGTTTATTTGCGAAGTAACGTTTTTGGGCAGATGATAACCTAAACAACGTACCTTCTGTTATGCGAAGCAGACCGCAAAAATTGCTAAAAAAACGCTGATTTTAAACAAAAATAAATGCTGGGCACTGACTATGTATAAAATCTTTTTCGTTTTTCGTGTGATTTGGCAATAACTTTTAATCTCTCTCATAGCTGTCAAATGAAACAAAAGTAAAATAACTATCGTTTTCAACAAAACTGACTTTGTATTGAATGATCAAAATTGCATTTATAAGAAAAAACAGCTGTAAGACAAAACGAAACAATCTACAGAAAATTGTTTACATATAGAAAAAACAAAGCAAAAGAATTTAAATCTGTGAAAGGTAACTAAAATATTTTTAAATAATATTAGTAAATAAAATAGTTTAATAATATTAACAAAGTAATGTTGATCCACGTATAAATTTTAGGTATGAGGGCTCCTGCGCATTAGGCGAAAACCAAAATGCCTTCGTTATACAATTTTAACACATAGTTTATGCGCGTTACTAAAACAAAATAATTTGGATAACGTTTGTTTACGTGAACGTTAATGAAGTGGAACTTTCTTTCAAATAAATTTTTTTTTTTTTGGAGCAAAATGTCACTGTCTATACAGTTTCTTTTTAGTTTTGTTTTTAATAAAAATGTAAACCATTTTATGCTTGAATCGCGAACCCAATTGTTTTTGTTTTTTTTTCATAAATACATCATTGCTCCCTTCTGTCAAAAAAACCCATGCAGACATTAAAGGTTTATCTGCACTTAAATGCAAATAAGCAATTTTATTTTGATCGCGCGTGGGACATACATAACATAAAACGCAAGCATTACGCTGTTTGCGGAGGAAAATCCAATAAAACCCATTGCGAAGGTAGACGCGTTAGTTTTTACTAAGAGTAGTACTACATTTGTTTTTAAAAACATTTACAAAATTATTATTCATTTTTTATGATCGCTGACGCGGACCAGGTAGCTACTATTGCCTTACAAAGAATAGTTGCAAAGAAGATAAAATATAGTGCCTATAAAGGGATAAATTTAAATCGTTTGAATTTATAAAATTAAAGGATAGTTGCCGATTTTTAATTGTGCTTTCTATGTTAACCCATAAAATAATAAATTTATACGAGCAAAAGGAAGAATTGTAAATTGTATGACCGAGGAATAAAATTATATGAACAAGAGAAAGAATTGTAAATTGTATGAACAAGAGGAATAAAATTACTTGCGTGTAATTGGAATGAAAAAAGGTATGAATTTTTTCTCGGATATATTGCATTAGTGATATCTATATAAGAAAGGACTACTGAAAAATAAATAGCAATAAATAATATGTTCTCAAGTTTTCCCTTTAGAATAATTTCAGAAATGCTTCATTTTTTAATTGAAATTCAAAAGGAAACGATAAGTATGGATAGGGTAGATTGCTTAGAATTATCAAGGAAACATACTAGTTTCGATAAATAGACGATTATATATGCCCACGCAAAATTTTGCAATGACCTTGTTTCAAATCCACAGTTTTAGAGTCGAAGTTAGGTCGATGGGTTATTTCTAATATTAGTTTTAAGTGGTGCTTATGGATTTTTTTTTAATATATTGTATAGCAGATGCGATGTCCCCATACAATCTTCGAGACGTTCTCGTTTTAGGCTTAGATTATTACTTCACTTCATTTCGTTTCATTACCTACCAAATTTCTATATGATTTTACTGTTGTTTACATAATGTCAGTTGTTAATAAACAAGCAAACAGAGCTTTTCTTTTATTTCCGCTTTATTTTCTCAAAATGATAACAAAGAGAGCTTTGGCGAAAGTGATACATAGTGCAAAGTGTGGTGATTATCTTTCCTTCCCCGTCGAAACGAGCAAAAGCTAATAAAAGAAAAGAAACAGTCGGTACCCTGTAATCCAAACACATTTCTTCTGACAATATTGATGAGTAGTAATGATTTTAGGCTTTTTAAGAGATTTCATTGATAACATTTTACTATTCACCTTTGCTTTTTTAAATCAAGGTTTAATTTAACTTGTACTCTCTTTTCACGGCGAGATGTCAGTAAAACTTCTATCCAGCAATAAATGTTTTGAGGGGGAGCAACGTATTTATTCTCATTTTTCTAACGTCTTGGGATGTGAGATGAAATTTGGTGCATATGTGCCACCAGCAAATCTGGAGGATAATGTAACATGCCCAGTTTTGTTTTATCTCAGCGGTCTAACTTGCACTCATGAGAATTTTATACAAAAATCTGGTATGCAACAATATGCCGCTAAATATGGGTTAATAGTAATTAATCCAGATACATCGCCGAGAAACTTGGATATACCTGGTGAAGAGGATTCCAATGATTTTGGCACGGGAGCTAGTTTTTATATTAATGCCACGCAAGAACCATGGTCGAAGAATTATCAAATGTTCTCATACATTACTGATGAACTGGTGCAACTAATAAATCAAAATTTTCCTGTAATACCAACAAAAAAAGGTATATTTGGGCATAGTATGGGTGGACATGGTGCTTTAATATGTGCTTTGAAGAATCCTGGACTGTATCAATCGGTTTCCGCTTTTGCGCCAATCGCCAATCCAGTGGGATGTCCTTGGGGTCAAAAGGCTTTTAAAGGTTACTTAGGGGACAATCAGGACTTATGGAAACAATGGGACTCTACCTATCTGGCTGAAACGTACTCCAGCGGTCCAATAGAGTTATTCATAGATCAAGGCTGCAACGATAACTTCTTAAAGGAAAAACAGTTGCTGCCTGAAAACCTGTTACAAGCAGCATCGAGTAATGACCATTTGCAAACAATTTACAAACAACGTGCGGGATATGATCACAGTTACTATTACATAGCAACGTTTATAGGCGAGCACATAGCATACCATGCCAAATTGCTTAACTGAAGTCAATAAACATCTATTGCTTTTAAATATCTTACTCTAAAATTAGTTTATTTGTATATGCAAGCAAATGGTCGCTCTTTTAAGACTTCTTTATATAAAACAGTTCAGCAGATGTAACATCCCCACTCAAAAAGTACATAAATTTAAAATAATAGTAAGCAAATTATTGACTACAACATATTTTTTTACATATTCAATATTTGGGCTTCCATGGCTTCAATGGGAATATCTTGCAAATTTTGCGTTTGATTATGTTCCGCTTCTATGATTTCGCGTTTTATGCCTTTCTTCTCATGTATCATTTTATGAGTGCGAAGTTTATAAGCTTGTTGAAAACCTTTTCCGCATATATCACAACTATTGCGAGAGGAAAAAAGAAGTGAGTATAAAACTAAAGGAAACCTTTGGATTTTTGTAAACTTACACGAATGGTTTTTCACCCGTATGAATCATTTTGTGGAATTTTAAAGTGTTGGTATAGGTGAAAGATTTACCGCACACATCGCAGACGTATGGTCTTTCGTTGGTATGTATGCTGTAAGGACAGAAAGGAGAAATAGAAAAGAATTAAATATACAACCTGCTACTAACTTAAAGACCACATGTTGGGGAGGAAAATTTTTATTTATATAAAAGCTGACTTTATGTCCTTTATGACCACCGCATGTGTCCTCAAACAACCACTAGCAAAAATAGAAATTATAACCGATTTCTTAACAAAAAGAAATCCATGGCACTAATACTGCTTCGAACGTTTATTTTACATTGGAAATGCATAGCTTGTTTTTTCTTTTATATAGTTACCAAGAAACAAATCTTAAGATGCCATATAGGATGAAAGCAAACTAGTGAAGTATGATTCTGCAAATACTACAATGGCTATGTTTTTTGGTTTCTGTAGACTTGCCTATGCGGATGGAGACTAAAGTGAAAACTTCCTTGTCTTTTTTTTCATCATATTTAGAGTACGTGATATGCTCTTTAAAGTGTTTTATCTTACTAAAGTTAGAACTAGTTAATATCGTTTACTATACACGACCCGCAAAGTAATTTTCCGAAGGCTCGACCTTTTGCGTATTCTTATTTGAATAAAATCGTGAAGTTCTTCTTTGAATATTTAACTTTCTTAAGCACATTATTATCTTGTTAATCAAATCTAATGGAGATTGAAAATGAAATGGGCTTTCCTACGGTTACTTAGGAAAAAAAAACAAATTGCCGAGGTTTTGAAAGAAGAACTACAAATTTAGAAAAATACTAACTGTGCCGCCACAATGTCTAATAATTACCTACCGATGATGTTTATTACGGGTGGATAAATCTGCAAAGGCTGCTGGACAATAATTACACTTGTAGGGTCTGTTGCCCGTGTGCGTATTCATGTGTCGTGCCAATTGTTGCGTCTGAGCGAAAGCGTGACCACAAATTCTGTTTTATAGAAAATAAACATAAGAACATAAACAATTACATGACACTTTGTGATAGCAACTTACTCGCACTCGTGTGGTTTTATGCCTTTATGTAGTTTAATGTGCTCTGTTAGTCTACCTTGTGATTGATATTTATTCCCGCAGAAATCGCAAATATATTGTGACTCCTTTGACCTTTTTTCTTTTGGTTCACGCTTTACACGCTTTGTAGCTGTCTGACTTGTAGACGCATGACTGGAGTTTTTTTTGGTTGTTGCCTGGCTTTTATCGTCTTTCTTTGCTTCCATTTGAATATATTCTTCGTCCGAACTCGGTAATTCCAGATCTTCTTCTGTTTCCAGATATTCCAAATCTTCATTCTGTTCAGTTTTCTGGAAAATAAAGTGAACGTAATAATATTGGAGATCATGCATTTCTATTTTACTAACCATATTGCACTGAGGGTCCTCATCAGTCAATTCGAATACTTGTTCTTCTTCTTCAGTCATAGGTTCATAAATTTCAACAAATTCATCGAAGTCTTCTTCCACATGTACGGTATATTCTTCTTTTGAGGAAGCATTATTTTCCTCTATTTGATTTTCAAATTTAATCAGCACATCATCAGACTCATCTACTATTAAAGTCTCGTCGAATGATGATGTTAAGTCTATTTCGTCTTCGCATACTTCTTCCTGCTCGTCATCTTCAAGCTTATCCACTACTACAGGCGCTATAAATCTGCTTAATTGTTTATGTGAACGTTGGCACGTCGTACGAAACTTGAACGCCACTTGCAAATATTTATAACATTTACTACATATTTTATCCGGATAATGGTCAAATTGCTTAATCTGCAAAATCACAGAACAAAACATTTAAAGAAGTACCCTTGATAAATGTTTTTCATTAGCATTTACAGGTACTCCACCACATTCCAGTATCATTTGCGTGAGATCCTTCTCCGAATTTTGATCAAATATTGTTTGCATGGTTTCCTTGGGTTGTTGCAAACAAATCCTACATACCAACCATTTCTCATTTAAGCCCGACTTCATTTTTAAAAGTAAATCGATAAGAGAGAAAATGTTTTTTTTTTATTTGGATTTCCAAATTTTTACACAAATTATTAAAAATATCTAGAGAAAATGACGCCTCTCGCGTTTTATTTTTCTTAAGAGTTGCCAAAACCATACAATTTCTCCGTTATTATAAACAATAGTAGATTAAAGTCGATTTGATTAAGAAAATTAAGAGTTAAATCCGAGGGAAAATACATGTATAGTAAATATCGTAAACGGTTGCATTAGTTTTGCAATTTAAAAAAAAATTGCTTCTCACATTTATTTATTTATTTTATTCATTTAATTGACATTTATTCCAAGTCATTTAAAGAGAAAAGAAAGAAATATGACATGTAAAGGCACAAGTATTTAAAACCGCACAGCGAAAGAGTCAAGAGTGTGCAGACAAGAACAAAACCACTTTCTCTAATTCTAAGCATCTTTATGCCTTTACTACTAATTAACTAATTAACAGCAGGGCGATTCGGAGTTTGGAATCGCGTAGTGCTTTTGTCGGAGCAAAACAAAACAAACAAAACAGCAAAAACATGCTTATATCTACACTTTTACAAGAAGCAACTAATGATCGGAGCCTATATTGTCTTTACTTCATGTCGGCGCTGACTATATTCTAAACTTCAAGTGTTTAATAATCCTCGATTTAATGGTAGACGCACAAACATCAAAGGCGAGCAAGTTGTAGGGTCTGTTATATTGCTTTCGCAATTTTGCGGCCTGATCGTTGTTACTGTAGTCTCGTCTGCAACAATTTATATTAAGTATTTGAAAATGCCTAGAAAGTTGCTGTGGAAAATTTAAGTACATTTTTGATGTCCATCTGTTTGCGGTAATGAATTCTTGATGATCAACAACATTTCATACGCCTTTTTTACTAAATATTTCCAATCCGATTTCCATATAAATTCTACTTTACATTTTATATTTCGATTTCTATTTTTTTTCCACTTTATGTTTATATTGACTCGGGTTTTTCGCAAGCTTAAGCCTAGTCAGTACTTTTACAAACATTAAATCGAAATTTTCTAATTTTTTCTAATTTTCGAATATATATCCATATACATTTTTGTGCTGCTTATAATCGCACGAGGTTTGATCAGTGATTTGCCTGTTGCCCGTTGATAACATGCAAGATATTATTAAAAGGAAAAAATTAATTGATCGATATATGCATTTATATTCATCTTCATATATGAAAATGTAAAAATTCTCAAAAAATAAAATTCAAAAACCACTAACAACCAGAAATTTTGAACAATGTTCTGTCTACGGCAGGGTATAGACTGCTTGATTATCCCGTAGCGCTCATCAGTTAAACCAACTCTGACTGAAATCAATTAAGAAGTTTTAGGTTTAGAAAGAAAATTATGTTGTCTTTCGTTCCTTTATCAATTTGCTTTTGTCGATCAGAGAAAGGTGAATTTAATGACGATCACGCGCGCAGGCTTCAGTAAGACTTGTTCTACCGTTTCAAGTTACAAAAATACGTTTGATTGATAACTGACATAATCTCGTACTGGAAATCTCGCGGTGAATCTACCGAACCCATTGTCGAAAGGAAGACAACGAAAATATTGCAAAGACCATTGTTCAATACCGCGATAAAACTCAAAGGCTCGATTGCACAAGGTAGAACATCTATTTAAAGGCTAGATTAAACCTGATCCATACGACCACGTGCTAAGCTTTCAAATTTGGTGTCGATACGCCGAGATCTCCGAGAATCTGTTTACGTTATCCAATTGCCATGGGAAGCTGCTGGCATAGGCGCGTACGTAAGTGATGCTTGTGCCTTATGGCTGTTAGGTTATATGTCCAGTTTAATTTAAAGTAGTTTAATATTTGCATCTATTACCGATCCTCCAAAAATCTTCAGCAACTGGGAAATTCTGACGGAGAGTTAAAATTTTGGCGAGAAGAATTCTGGATAACATGACTCTGTTGCAGATGGTGCCAATCCCGAATCCAACGAGACTCTTGTGCGACGATTAAAAGCCAGCGCTACTGCAACATTAATTCAAAAGATAAATTAATTTTATAGAGCCATATATTTTGAACGCTGGTTTATTTAAGCACGTTACTTACATCATCAAATTTTAAAAGCTACAAATATCTTAGCTGCGTGGTAGTATGGCACCAGGCTTTCGCGACAGATGCTTTTCAAGAGAGTTTACATGAGATCGTGTACATTAATCCAGATATCTGATGCTATTTATAAACCTTGAAAGATGATTGTATTTCGAAGTAATATTTGAACGACTTACCTGAATCAGCGACATGATCTTGCAGTAGAGACTTTACCAACTGTACTCTATAGAACCTGAAATGATGACGGTGAACGATGTTTCGATTGTTGGAAGGGAAAGCAGATTAAGTCCGGAAACGTAACAGAATCGTAACCTAGAATATTTATATTTTTATTTTTAGTATATTTACGCCTCGTAACCCTATTACACTTAAGCAACATGACGGTTACTTGGCGCAGACATCGTTCGGAATAAATGGTAGCAATGCGCCGCGTTCCCCAAATCAAATTTGCGATTGCATCTAGTTTGGGTGTCAGAAGTTGAATTTTCGAGTGAGCTGTTGCTTCATCGCTACTAGAATTTACCCTGATTACTTTTTGCTATTTGTTAGTATGGTTGTTCGTGTTCTCTACAAAAATTTAGACGTTTAACAAACGAAAGTGAGGCACAAGAAACTGTAGGGATTAAGAGCGATCGCTTGATGCTTGAGCATCCCTTCCCGACTGCGCTAACTGATATTTGTCCTCGATCTTCTCTACGAAACCATGTTGTATGAAAGTATTTAACGCTCTGGGAGTCCACATGGTAATTACCTCGGGATGTATCTTCAGATATGTAAAATATATATATACATACAATCAAATTTTTTCAATTTTAGTGCTTCAATTTACCCCAGTCTTATCAGCTATGTGATTCACAATAACAGCATAACTTGCAGGTTCCCGTAACTCTTTAAGTGATCTCATCACAACGTCTTTTATTTGCTTACTCACTTTTACAGGCATTTCCAAAGGCGACAGAAATAGTCTTTACACGAGAAATTTTGTTTTTCAATTGATTTTTTTACTATATTTTATTGACAATTTTTTCAAATCAACTATGAAATCTGATTAGCCTACTTGTTGGAAAAATTTGAACAAGTTTAAAACAATCGTGTTATGCTCACAATTGAAATAGAAAATCTAGATATTTTCTTACGATATAACAAGTGTAAAGTGCTGCAGACATCAAAATGACCCAATCTGTGCCAATATAATCGGTTATAATCATACACCATAGAAGGTACGGCACGTAATATCGAAACCACTGAACTATGCCGTGGAGCGCGCATTTGTTATATATTTCATGAAACTTTTGGAATCACATTAGATTCTATACATCCCTTAGCAGGACTAACTGAAATGGATATTCTAACAGCAATACGTAACGCAACCCGTCCGAGGCCAGCACTTTTCGTACCCGAAGTATCGTTTGAATTGTTAGTTAAGCGGCAGATACGTAGATTAGAAGAACGCTCGCTACGTTGTGTTGAATTAATTCATGAAGAAATGCAACGAATTGTTCAACATTGTGGCAATGAAGTTCAACAGGAAATGTTAAGATTTCCAAAATTACATGAAAAAATTGTTGACGTTGTTACACAGTTATTAAGACGGCGTTTGTCAGCCACTAATGTAATGGTGGAAAATCTAGTGGCCATTGAATTGGCTTACATAAATACTAAGCATCGCGATTTTCATAAAGATGCTGCCTTATTATATAAATGTATCAAAAATATGCATTCATCTCCCCTTGTACGTCTCCTGAATAGTTTTATACAATTTTTATAGGCGTGGCATTCGATTTTACCCTATTTTCAAAAAAAAATGAATATTCTCTTTCCATATATATTCACAGAAATGGTTTGGTTGAAATGTAATATATATTCTTTATTATATAAATGTATCAAAAATATGCATTCATCTCCCCTTGTACGTCTCCTGAATAGTTTTGTACAATTTTTATAGGCGTGGCATTCGATTTTACCCTATTTTCAAAAAAAAATTAATATTCTCTTTCCATATATATTCAAACATGGGTTGTGTCGGACAGCTCTTATTCATACCTATTCTGCGCTTTGGCGGTTGTGTAAATATTACCTATGGTTTTGTGCCTAAGTTCGTTTGTGTTGTATGATTTTACATGTTCTATGCCTACGAGCCATTTCATGCAAGTTTTCTTCATTCTCTTTACCCTTCGCTTGGTGGAGTGTGTGTTCTAGCGTAGGCCTGTGCAATATGTGTCTATACATTTTCTCTTTCGCTGTTCTTTTATAGCCCGAGTCTCACTCGCTTGTCCTAATGCCAACATGCTCTATGTGTTTACATAAGTTGAGGTAATATGCTTATGGGTATGCTTAGCTTAGGTTGGCTGCAGCCGCAACCTCAGTTGCGACTTGCATGATCCTACTTATACACAACTTAACCAACTTACATCTAACTTATTACTATGTTTGTTCACATGTCTACTCACAAGCACTCAGGTACCAAATCGCGTGGTTCGATCACGTTAGGTATGTGAGTGCTAGTGCACTGTGTTTGCATGTGTTTTGTGTGTTTTTTACATGTGTGATTGTGTCTTTGTATATTTTGTGTATGCAGTTTATGCATTATCGTATGTTCTTATTATTCTTTTCTACCTAAGTTCAATTCTGCTTGTTTTGTTTACTTTTTTACTTTTTTGTTTACCCTAACGGTGTTACACATTCTGCGCATTTTTACACATAGAGATTCTTGTTGAAGTTGTTTCGCATGCATAGATTTTCTACCTAAGTTCAATTCTGCTTGTTAAACATTTTGGGATTTTACTTGTATTTATACTTTGAGTTTTTATTTAGCCTTTGAGTACTTAAACATTTTGAGATTCTACTTGGGTTCTTACCATATTGATTTCTTGCATCTAAGTTTTTCTTTTATTTGGGTTCTTGACTCCGCTATTACATTTTGAAATTTGGATCTACGCTTTTTGGTACACTGGGGTTCTTAATCTGTGCTGTGGTGTGCTTCTGTGGTTTTACGGAGGCACACTCACTATGTGCTTGTACTTTTCTCTTAAAACACACATGTGGTGTGTGTTTCTATGAATTAACTCACGTGGGCCTGTACAAAATATGTTTGGACATTTTTCTCGTTACCAGGTATAGGCATATTTAATGTGTGTTTTATGATTTTATCTTTACAAGGTATCGGTATATTAGTGTGTGATATTATGATTTTATCTGTACAAGGTATAATTAGTGGGTCTTTTTATGATTTTGCATTTGAAGTTGGAGGGGGCTGCTCGTGTATTGTTCACAGAACGACATGCGTGGGCAGATCGGACTTGCTGACTGCGGAGTGCGGGTGGGCTTTTAAGCGGACGGACTGTATTTCGTAAGGATGCAAAAAGGCTTCCTTACAATATTGTCGGCTGAATAAGGAGTTCAAAAAAACTTCCTTTTTTTTTAAAAATTAAACAGATTAAACAAGTCGTAAAAAAATTTTTTTTTAAAACAAAATTAGGCGTTTGTTCGTGACATAGTCAGTAAGGTCCATTTGACGAACTGCAACAACGTTACGGGGATAGATTGCTGTGAAACATCTTAATTTTGTTTTTTTTTCTTTTTGTTTTCTAATTCCTCTGTTCGACAAGAAAGTAATTTTAATAAAAACTTACTTCAACTAAGAGGTTTTACGATAGATCTTGGTAGCGATTGCTTTTGTTTGAACATTTTACATAACATAACACCTATCGTATTTTATTTTAAATTATTTTTTTTTTAAAGAATTTCTGTTTTCATAAACATTTAACCTGCAAA